CCGCAGTCTGTTACCACTTCCTTGTAAAATCACGTATCACATCCTTATCAAAGAGTTCATTTGCAAGCCAAAAATATGCCCCCTAAGTCTTATCAGTATGGGACAGTATCTTAGTAATGATAAACTGGGGGAGACTACTAAAGAGCTAAGTATGAAAGAGAGACTAGCTGAGGCCTTTCTGCTCAGAAATATGCCTTGTGAATCAGCCATAAATACAACTGAATGCTTTTCCACAAGTTATAAGAACTTGGGAACTACAGACAAAGCTGATGCTGCTACCTATTCAAAAGGAAAGACTTCTTGTTAAACAGTGAAGACTGCTGAATGCCAAGAAAGTATTCACTTAACACAAGAGCGGGCAATTATTTTGGGCAGAGGGCCACTTACTGAGTTTCGGCAAGCCACTGAGAGCCACATATTAATTTTATAAATGTTTTAGGGGCCCCGTGAGCCAGATAGAATGGCCTGGTAAGCCACATCTGGCCCCCAGGCACACCTGACTTAAACATACTATTTATGAGCTCCAAGCATGTAATGTACAAACAAGGAAATCATTAGTTAACAAACATCAGCAGTCTCATATTGAGCACACTATCAATTGTTATCATATATAAACAAAACTGAACTCAGAATCTTAAATTTGGTCCAGGGATTTTAAAGTACCACTGTTAGGTTGATATTGTACCTAAATATTTCCTCCTTTTAAGGGCCTTTCTGAAGTTAAAAATAATAAATTTAGCAACTGGCAGTGCTTTTTTTTTCACAAAGTTGTTAGAATTAGTTTAAATAATTATAATTACTGCTGCAGATGCACCTTATTAAATAAAAGTAACTACAGTATCAATTTAGAGCAAAATGATCCAGCCCTGCATTTCAGGCTTAAAAATAGATTAAAATAATATACACATATATCTGGTTCCTGGCTATTTGGTGTTTTATCTATACTTCAAGATTACTGCTGATGAACAGAGAGACATAGAAACTCAGCATTTCTAAAGACCATAACTTTTTAATGGACTGTAACTAAAGAATATTATGTGAAATATCAGTGCAAAAATGTTTTCTTTTGTCTTCAGAATAAAAACTAGCCAGGCAAATTTTCTGAGCCAAATTTAGACGCTTACTGAAGTGGGGTTTGATAATGGAACATGATTACAAGCTTGGCTGTGTAAAGGCCTCTGGATACTATGTCATGTGTATAACAAACAGGGTCATTGCTTTCTAGCTGTGATGGTTCACAGGATTAGACAATAAGCTTTTTTAACCGTCCTAGAGTTCTGTGACAGGGGTAGAATTCTCTACTAAACTCTACAGAATAGACCAAAAACCCTAGAGAAAAGGTAGCATTTCCATATTGCAGTCAAGGTTCTTTGGGTGAATCTGATATCTTTTATATCAGATTCACCCAAAGAACCTTGTCTGCCTATGTCCTTAGACCAACACGGCTATAACTTACACCCCCGTAATATGGAAGATATCAAATTCATTTCCATATTAAATGTCATAGGTTTGGGGAATAACAGAGCGGGTAGCATGTGGGTTTCATCCCTGTTCAAATCTAGGGACTTTTCATATGGGTTTCCTCTAAGGGCTTAACCATATGCTTAAATCCTAGTGAAGTCACTAGCATTTAAGTAGGTGTGTGAGGGCTTTACTGAACATGGTGGGAGGCTTAAGGTCAGACGCACTCACAAGCTTTGTTGAACTGATGCCTTGACTCATGAAGACAGAGTGGAGAGCTAAATGTGCCATGGTTGAGCTCACTCTGCCTCCCTGTGACAGTCCACAACTCTCCACATGGAGGGCTCTTCATCCATACTGCTAAAACTGTCCTATGTCTCCTCCTATTTGACTGCACAAGACTGGAAGGGACTCGTGGTTCATTAAATCCACACCAGGGGCATTGCAGGCAATCATACTGTGTAATCCCTTTGTGATCAAGTTCCATCTTGAAAAACAGAGAGGCTATCTACTCCAGGATGCTCCAGGCCTTCATTTCCTAGACAGAAAATATTGCAGCTGCCTCCTCTCTATCCCTCCTGAGACTGAAACGCCATTTCTTTCCAGTCCATTTAAGACACACTTGCTAAGGTATTTTTTCTGGCCTATTGCCTGGATGTTCTTTGTCCCTCACACAAGGCTCTGGTTGTTCACAACTCTGTCCATTGCTGGCTCCCTTACTCCATCAATGATGCCAGCCTTGTAGACTCATTTTTCTCCATCTGTTGCAAGCAGTTCCAAGCTTTCTTCTACATGTTTACTATGCATGGGGCATTCTCTCTGAATTAACCCATAAGGCCACCATCCTCTCTTCTTTCAAAATATGCTTCACACCCACACTTGTTACCACAGTTCCAGGAAATCAGCCACCCTATGTTGCTGATGCAAAGAAAATTTTCTGTCAAAACAGCTTTTTAAGCAATATTATTCTCAAAATGTGTTGTTTTTCTGCAAATGTTGTGCCTTTTTGTCAGACAAAGCCCTTAATTTCTCATCTCTGGGGTACTACCAGGTGAGAAAAGTAGAACATTTTTGTCTACAAGGCCAGAATGTGTGTCTCAACACTTGTAGAAGATCTGATGAATATGAAAGTGACATTTGAGCATAGACATTTACAGAATAAAATCACTTTTCAGATCTGCAAAATGTTTAGAAAATGGATGTGTTTTACAACAGACAGTGAGGAATAAATAAAACCGGTGACTCAAGCTTTTTGGAGGTATGTCAACAATGTCAAATGTCAATTATAGCTATGCCCGGAAGAAGACTGTAGTTTTCACGCTTAGGCATTCATCATCCATTATGTTAATCCATGCTCCAGGTAGCATGGTCAAAAAATACTGTGTTTGAATAGAAAAAGCTATCTTAACAGTGAAATGCAAATTTTAAAATGAATGCTTCTATGAGTGCAAAAGTGGGATAAGATATATAGTTGTGGTTTTAACATGTATAAAAAGAAGGTTCAGAGAATTATCACTTGTAATTCTTGTGAAATCTGAGAGTAATGTGTCTAGGTATGCTATGCTATATGCAGTGTTTCCTCTAGCAGAGGAAGCTTGCATCACATATGGTTGGAAGAGGCAGAATGTTCCAGATACACATTTTCATTCCTCTTTAACTTGCTAAAAATGTTCCCTTTCGGGTAGAAGATCCTCCTGGAGAGCTGTAAAGCAAAAAAACCCATGATTTTTCTCTGTGGATTTAACCCAATCAGTTGAGCTCATGTTTGCATTTAAAAGAAAAAAGAAAGTGACTTTCAATTTTCAGTCAAAATTAAGCAGATGTCTGTGATTGAAAGGAAACCCCCAGGATCCAGTATTATTTTCTTTTCTCCCCTCTGCACAGATCAGAAACCAAAAAAGCAGGATGCAGTAACAAGACAATAAAAATGCTGCCCTGTGCCTGAAGAAAGGTGTTTGTGCCTGAAAGCTTGCAAAGCAGGGCTGGGATTACAAGGGAGTTGTGGGGGGGCTGATTATGGGGGAGTTTGGGATGGGATTACATTAGATTCCTGTTGGGATTACAGGGGAGTGTATGGAGGGGTGGGGGGGCACTTTCATCTTATTTCATAAGAGATGAAAGCCCGCTGTAAGATTTGACAGGCACAACCTGGGCAGGGGTCTCTGATTTTATTAGGACATCATGATGGACAACCTGTATTTTTTGCAGACCCCCCCCCAAAAAAAGTCAAAGTGTAATTCAAACCCTATTGCAAAGAACAATTGTTTTCAGCTATTTACTAGGTCTAATAAAAGATCACATTTACCCGAAGAACCTCGTCTGCCTTCAGTCTGTGGGAGAAGAAACTGGGAGAACAGACCAGCTCCAAAGGGGTCAGTTAACTGCATGAAGCTGCCACACTCCCGATTTGGGACGCGGTGACCGCGAAGGGCTGGCAAGCAGGTGTTTTGTTGTTGCTGTTTTTTTGGGGGGGGGGGGGGGGGG